TTTATTAATTTCTTTTCATTTTTTAGGTGTTTGCAACTGAAATTTTATTGAGATCCATTAAACTATAGGTGTCCAGATAATTCGTGGTTTTATAAGGATTTTAATTAGTAAACAGATTTTAATGGATTCCAAGCTTAAAAACATACAAAACAACCCCTTTCGAAATTTCACATTTTTAATGAGATTCTTATTGATTATTCAAATTCACGAAATTTATTAAGATTTATAATATTTTAAAGTTCATTAATTCCAATTGAGGATCCCCTGTAAAACTTTGCCCCGTTTGAACCACATTTTTTGTAAAAACAAAAAATGCACTTTGAAATAACGTTTTTTTATAAAATATTTGGTAGAAAAAAAAAAGAAAAAATTTCGATTTACAGATGAATGTGTGATTGAAAACAAGTTTTAAAAAATGATTTTTTGAAGAAATAGGACCAAACATAAACTTCACAAAACTCTGCCGGTAATGCTCCTTAAAAGGCATAAGATTTCCTTCACAAGGTGTGGCCCATTTGGTCCCAAATATTTTGGTCGTTAGTAATTTAATTCTTGTTATTTTAAGTTACAAACGTTTCGTAAAACTACATCTATTTAATAAGAGAAATGCTATTCATCCCCAATCTATGTGGCGTTAATATGGCATTAAATGATATGTGAAATTAAATAAGTCATTTAATTTCACTTATCATTTAACCAATCATTTACATCCACATAGGCTGTGGATGAATAGTATTTTTCATTTAATAATCCATTATGCTTGAAGAACGAAGTTTTTATAAACTTTCTTTTTCTTCAATGTATAACTTTGAAGGGATGCAAGCGGAAAGGACTCCGTCTCCATTATTAATTTTTTATTTATTTATTACATATTATCTCGATTCTTTTTCTTCAAACTAGCCCTTGAAGAAACATTATTCCACTCATAACTACTACTGAAATTTTTATTTAGCAATAACAAGAAACAAATATGTGCAAATTGATCACAAAAGCGTCACACAAAATGTATTGTGGACATGCTTATACTTAAATAATGAAAAAGTAAGGCTCAAACTCATTATTTTCAACGTAAATTTACATATACTTGTAAACCTTGTAATACAACATATATTATACCCATCTTAGAATGTTTTCTTTTGCTTTCTCGTGTGTGTTAACGTGGTTCTGCGCCCTTGTTGTTGTCCTTGCCAAGAATCTTCATTTCTCACTTCTTCCTCCGCCCATTCGTTATTTATCAAAGAGTGTTGATAGTATTTGAAGGCCACAAACAACATGAACACTGCATCGATAGCGTTATGTTACAAAATAGACACGTACACAAAATGAGATCTACCTATATAGTATTAGTATTTAGCCCGTGTTTGGTAGGAATTCTAAATCAAAGTCAACAATCAATTTTAACAACACATTTCATGAAATTCATAACTTTTCCACTACGCATTCATCAAATTTTATTAAAATTTACTAAAAATCTGATTTAAATCTTCACCAAACCAGAGCTTTAATTTGTAAAGGTAGTTGTTACTTACCTGACCAAATTCTGGCAACCATTGATGACAAGTTCCAAACAAGTGTGAAGATGGCAAATCCTACGGCTTTCTTATGAGAACATGATTCCCAAGCATCACGAAATCGTCGAATCCAAAATGTACCTTCATATATACATTAAAAATATTGATCTTTGAATTGGGGTATCGTAACATTTTGCAGCAAACGTCGATGTTTACGTTCCTCTTAGAAAAATAAAAAGTCCAGTAAAAAATTACAAAACTCCGATTTGTCTATCATTATTTCAAATTTTTTTCTCAAACTTATTTTCAATCGCAAATTCTCACAATAAAATATTTTACACATTAACTCAATTTTTTTTTAACAACTCATTTTCCAAAAGAATATTATTTCTCAACTCATTTTCCTACTTTAATGGTAAACAGACAGATAGGGGTTTAATTTCAAGTGTGTAATTAAAAGCGAAAAATAATGGCGTTAGGTAATTCACGAGTCACATGTGGTACGCTATCAAATTGGTGACCAAATGGACCACACAATAAAGTTTTATGCTGTAACGGTATAATATCATAACCCCCACAATATTATTATAATTATGAAATGCTAATTTTTTGAGCGGTGGGGAGTACTTTTCAACAAATTATTGGCATGAAAGTTAGAGCGATGTGACATAACTGGGCCCTTTCGTTGATTTTTCAAATAAAAAAAATTATGAGTTTACGATTTAAAATTATTGTAAAAAATAAGTTAATAAAAGTAAAGGTAGTTTGATTACAAGAATGAAATTTGAATGGAAAGAAAATGAATTTCATGAAATTAAATTGCCTAGAACTTGTTTTTACTGAGAATTGTCAATTAATTATGTTTGATTGATATAATTTTTCACCTGAAAAATATTGAAATTTTGGATCTTTTAGTGTTCGTTTGGTTTTATTTTTTTCATGAAAATTGTCTATTAAAAGGATATAATTTGTTACAATTTGGGATAGAATTTGTTTTCATTGCCAAATAAAAAAAATAAAAAAAAAAAGTTGCATAGAAAAGCTTTTTCGAACAAAGTGGTTTTTTCCTCAAAAACCAAGAAAATGTGAGCATGTCGGTGAAAGATGGAAAATCAATTCCATGGAAAATTTGGACAATCAAACACGCAAAAATGTGAAAAATGAAATTTAATTTCCATCTTTCATAGATTTGAAGTGCAATCAGACATGATCTAAGTAATTTTCAAATAATAAAAAATTAAAGAAGACTTACCATATGCAGTTAACTGTGCAGAGTAGGATGAACAGACTTTGGGTACGATAAATACTCCAAAAAATCCTGTAACATTAAAAAAAAAAAAAGGAAAATTTGGAAAATAATTATAAATTTATTTACGCGCATTCCTATCATTTTGTCGGGATAGAAATCTCATCTCACCCAGTTTAGCCATCTTCCAAATGGTTATGGAGCTGCCACATCTCGCCAAAACAAACAGAAGCACCGCCAACTGCCACGTAAGTCAAAACACAAATTACGAAACAAGAAAAATTACATAAAAATTGGAAAAAATAAATAAATTGAAATTAACAACTTAATTCATTTACCTTCATTGTAGTTGAAGGATCCCCAGAAAAAAGAGCTCTTAATTTCAAGAGGAACTCATTTATATAAGGAAGAATCAATTTTAAAACCCAAATTGCTTCTTCTTCCCCAACTACATAATCTTGGCTTCTGTCAATTTCACCCCTACTTGTTTCCAATAAAATGCAGTCAAACAAACTTAAACTACATTTTCAATCACTAACGATGAACAAAATCGAGTTTAAGAATGAACAATGTTATTCATACTGGAAACTATCAGTAGTCGCCCTACGGGCATATACGTTACAGTTTGTTATTTGAATTGTATATCTGATTCTCAAATAACAACCTACCACATGTATGCGACATAGGATGACTACCGATATTCCTCACTATGAATAACATTACTCTTTAAGAATTTACCTTCTGATTAGGGATCTGAAAAGAAAGATTGAAGCAAGATACACAAGGCCCAAGTAGGAAACCACAGAGATAAAGCTGTAAGTATATCCATGATTAAACAAATATTTTAGTCATTCTTTTAAGAGACAGATACATACATACACCTAATCTAATTAAAATTTGTATCTAAAAATACCAAACCTGATGCTGAAATCCTTCGTGTATGAAGATGAAATGATAACGAATGTTCCAATCCCGAAGATAAACGCTGATTTTGACACGTCTCTCCACATGACCAAGTCAACTGCAAAGTGTTTGATAATATAGAAAGTAGTTAACAAAAACCAAGTGAATTCAGAACAGAGGATGGATTCAACTCACCAAAACTTTCTAATTTGCCATGGGATCTTGGAGTTCTTTGAAAATCGCCTTCAACTTGACCTGATAAACAGAAAAATTCCAAATACAAAAGAAGGATTAAACATGAGATCAACAAGAACTATATGAAGGGGTAATACTAATAGGAAAATGTAGTTACTTGGCTTGGTTTTTGTTGGACTTGTATGAATTTTTCTGGCGTGATTTACAGCAGGAGGGGCTTGTTTCTTCACAATTGGCACAAATCTTTCATTGCCATGATCTAATTTCTTTTCCTCAATCACAATTTTCTTTGGATTTGATTCGTGTACAGTAATTTCCTTAATATCAAGACTCTTCTTTTCATTTTCATTTTCCTTATCAGTGTCTTCTTCGTCCCATTCTTCTTCTTCTTCTAATCCTTCTCCTTCTCCTTCTCCTTCTCCTTCTCCTTCACCTTCAACACAATCATCATCAGACGGTGTTTTGACATTGGTCAAATTGCTCGTAATCGCCTTTTCTTCACAGACAATTAGCTCTTTACAATCTTGATCAGATCCAGACTGATTAATTCCAGTTGGGTTCTTCTCAGTTCCCTCAGAAGAGCCCTCTAAATCCAGTTCCTTGGGTGCTTCTGTTTTTGCCTTTACTAACTGGAGTTGAAGTGAATTCTTTACATTCTCATTCCCATCAGAGGATTCAGATTTCCCCTTCCTCAGTTCAGAATTCCCTTCAATTTTACTCTCAGTCAATGTCGCATTGGAATCTGACTTCACTTTCCGTAATTGACTTGTATTCTTCTGAATTGCATCACCAGATTGCTCAACAGTCCCCTTTTGCAATGATACTGCAGATCTTGTTTTTTTAGTCTGAGCTGGGCTTTTCTTGATCCCATTCCCATTCCCATCAACAGAAACGGTCAATTCTTTACACTGTTCATCCAAATTCTTCCCCAATTCAGATCTTTGCCTTGCAATCTGAAGCGGGCTTCCTTCAGAACTCTCTGATTTCCAAGTTTTTCTCTTCCCACTCGCCCCCACAGGACTCCTTTTCGGCTTCATATTCACTTTTACATCATCCTGAACCTCAGTATTAATAACACTGCTGATTTTGTTTTCATCAGAATTTTCTTGAGTGGCATCGAACACTTTTATCCCACCTTTCACTTGATCCGATTTCATTCTGCTCTCCCAAATAGAGCCTGTTTTTGGAGCACTTCCTCTTCTTCTACTTGTACTCCCCACATCCATTGCTTCTTTTGCACTCATTTCTGTCGGTTTGTATTTCTCTAAACTGCAATGAGTACAATGGGGACACTATCACAATGCTCTACTTATGAATTGTGGCTTTGAGTTCAAGAAATTGCGGTTGGTCTGATGAAAGCATAGGGATCCCTTCAGAGAGAGAGTAGAGCGAGACCTTTACGACTCTCTTTTCCCTTTTTTTTCTTTTCTTTATCCGTAGGGATAATTTTTCCGTTTAAGAACGAGAAAATATTTTTTTTATTATTTAAATATTTAAGATGAATTAAAGCATTGACGAAAAATAATTCATATAATCGGCTCTCAGGGATGATGTCAAAGGTTGGGATGAATGATTAGGTGATCTTTTTGGTATATATTCCTTCACTTTTTATGTCAAAGGATCTGCGTTTTTACCATAACCGAGGCAGCAAAAAGCCATTAGCCTCACATGGAATAAAACACAGATTTCTGCTTTAATTTTTTCTTTTTAAAATTAATTTAGTACTGATTTCTTACAATTTAATTGGGTCAATGGTCTTATTTAATTATATGATTGAACTGTTAGCTAAGTTTTAGATCAACTGTTCCGAACCCAATTGGATCCATTCATGTTGAATGCACGTTCCATTCGAGTGTTGGTAATAGGGACGAATTAGCTTAGTATTAAACTGACAAAAATTCTTTTAAAATATATGCAATAATAATATTTAATTTCCATATTTATGGTAAAGCACTAAAACTTGTCATTATTGGTTGGAGGGTCAATTTAATAATAGAAATCTAATTATCCTATGTCACTTATTAAAATCATCCTATGGAAACATTAGTCTATAGAATTAATATAGTCGTCCTTTTTTAAGACTGTCGACATATGAGATTATGAGTCTGTTTAGTTTTTAGTATTAAAAAAGTTAATGAGTATAATGAGCTTCTTAACTCCAACATAGTAAATGGGCTTTGATGTCCTTTGTATATGTTGACTGCAAGACTCATCCGTCGAGTAAGGACGGAAGTCGGTCTTAGCGATCGGACGGTGCTGCGTGGAAGGACCGTCGCTCAATGGATAAAATATCAAACAATAAGTGAAATTGGCAAATAACTCGACTTTCTTGGATTTGTTGTCCAACGATTCGTAAACTTATTTCATTGTTTCACGTACTTGTTTTGATTAAAGGAATTGTTGCTTGTTGACTTACTAGAATGTATAGTATTTTGATACCATGTAAAGTTGGTCAACTCAAATTGGTTGAGTACAACTTGATCATTATGACTTCTCCGTCTTCAAAGAATGATTCCCTGCGTATTCACAGAAATCATAAAGGTGATGTGTGTATTTTCTGCAATTGTTGTGTCGAAAATCACTGAAAGATTGTCAAGTGCTCTTCTGTAAAGATTCTGTCAAACTTTTTGTATACCTATAGTATAACTGGTCTTCGAATAATGAACATCAACGATGTTAGATCTAGGATCACACAATCTGAAAGGGGACTAAATAAGTTGCATGTACACTTCTTTTAATGTAATACAACTTTTTCTTAAATGTCAAATATCAAATGGCATAAGATATAAAACTACAATTAAATAGTCATGATCGATTTTAGCATCCTCAATTCGTTCAATGTTTAGTAGTCTTAGTTTGGCAAGTGTTCTAATCGTTCATGATTCACAATTCGACCAGTGTTCTAACTATCATAATAATAAAATTCGAGCATTGCTCCAACAACAAAAAAATAATCAATCGCAGCAGAATGTATTGTGCAAGTGCAATATAAAGCAGTAATAAAGGTAACACATAATTACTTTATGTGGTAAAACCCCATAACAAGGGATAATCCACTGGCCTCCATACCAAAGAGAAATTCACTACAAAATTCATTTTCATAATTACAAAATAAATAGCTAATACTATAATTTCTACAAAAATAGAAATGAACTTGGAAGAAAAATTAAATCACTCCACATTTCATTTTCTTAGTTTCTAACATTCCAATGTTTGTCCTTTAGGAACCGCCCTATTTACAAGCTCACATCGATGAACAAATTGGTTTGGTCAAATAACAAAACTCAAAAAGCATAAGAGTGGCTTAATTTTCGAAACTAAAAATCAATTGTCATTTCGGCATAAAGTTTAGACAACTAAATCATCGGTGTTTCAAATATGAAGCTTTGTGATACCCTTCTCAATAATTAAATCATCGGTGTTTCATTAAAGCTAAATTACTCCTCATCAATTACTTCGAGCAATCCGTTGAATCACTTAAAGGAACAAACATTATCATTCATCATTTTCTATAATTACATTACATTTAATCTTTATTTTGATAAATCAAGATGCAATTTCTCCCATTTTTAGATGGTATGCAAATATAATATTATTGATAGGAATGAGTAATCCATTAAGCATGCATCCATGTCCATCATTAAAGAAGTTCATAAGTGATATAATCACTTATTGCTCACAAATAAATTAAAACTCAATTTCAGCCAACCAAGAAATTATCTTTAAGTAAGAGTGGGCAAAAGTTATCTTAACCGTTGGACAAAATCAGAACTAGATTGGAATTGATTGGTTCGAAATGATTCTACTTCAGTTCTAATCGGTTCTGGTTATTGAATCAAGAATTGGACAGTTCAGTCCATTCTCGATTCTAATACCTAGAACCAAAAATTTTGATTTATTTTACTTTTTTTTATTTTTAACAATGGATGGTGCAATGCACCAACTATTTTATTCTTTTTTTATGAATTTCACTATAGTACATCAAGCTTGTATCAATTTACTATGGTGTTATTCATATCAATTTAACGCAAGGAACTAAATTGGATTGGTACTGAATAGTTCGATTCGATTCTCTTTAGAATATGATCGAACATGACCGCATCCACTCTTATCGTTAACTAGATCATTTATTTAGAAATAGAAAAGCCAATTTCAATAAAAAGAAGGAATTTTTTTTTTCAAAGTCTGTTTTTCCTTACAAACGGCTACCATGGTAAAAATATGGGGTGAAATTCAAGAAAGTTTTTGGTAGGTCCCACCTACCGTGCCTTTTAATGACAGGACAAATTCACAAAATAACGTTGCATTTGGATTTTCACGGAAGTTCCACCGACACAATTTACCTTTTTTATATTTAATTGAAAAAACTACAGGATATTTGGCTAAGCTTAAGGAAAAAAAATACTTAAATATATATTCTTTTTGAAAGAATACTCTAATTATATTTGAATACATTATGTTTTTGTACATTCAAATAAAAAGTTACTTATTTAGTACTCACTCCGTCCCAATTATATAAGCTAACTTTTCTTATTTTCTTGTCTCAA